CGGCTGGGCGCCTCCGGCAAGGTGACCGCTAGCTGGCAGCGTGCAGGGCCGCTCCACCCCAGACCCGGGCAGCGGCCAGCCCTGAAGGCCGGCTCTGCCCCTGAGGAAGGTGGGCGGCGACTCAGGCCCCGGAAGCCTGGCAGGGGCCGCCGGGGACGGGTCAGGGGCTGGGCTCCCGGCCGCCCCAGCTGGGGGCCCATCGGCGCGGGGCCCATGGGCACGCTCGGGTGACCTGAAAGCCCCTCCTGAGGCCGCCAGCTGCGGGCAGGAGGGAAGGCGAGGGGTGGGCAGCCCCGCTCGGGCACCCAAAGCGTGACCAGCGTGCCGGGGCTCCGCGCAGGCCAGGTCAGGAGCCGCTCCACAGCGTGCGGGCATGTGCCGGGCACAAGCCGGGGCCAGGCCCGCGCCCGCCCCCCGGGGCCTTGAGCACTGGCCCAGCGGGACCCAGCCGGACCCCAGCGCCCCCGCCCCCCAGCCGAGGCGATGCCAGTTTCATGGGGCAAAAACGAGTGGCCCCTTCCCAGCCAGCACAGCCGCCGCAGCGGGGGGCACACGGGGCGGGGCACAGGCTCCGCTCGCCGGCTCAGTGGGGCTGTGCCCACTTAAGCAGGGGGGTCAGCTCGAAGGGCTCTCCCACCCCCACAGAGGTGCCAGGTCCGGGGGGGCGGGGGCGGGGCCAGCGCCGGCCAAGGGTCTGGGACAAAGGACGAGGACAGGTCCGGTCCGGGGCGGTCCTGGCTGTCAGGACAGGGTCGTCCTCTCGGCTGGACGCCTCCCTCCGCCCCTCCCTCTGGCCTGTCACCTGCGCCCAGGCTCCCAGGGGCTCTGCTCGCCTGCTGGAGGCGGTCCTGTGGGACTTGGGGTGCGCAGTCTCTCGGCCCCTGCCGCACTCTGGGTGCAGGTGGGGGTCGAGGTCCAGAGAAAGCAGCCCAGGCGCCGGCGGCTGGGAGCGCAGTGCCCGCTGCTCTGCCCGTCACCCCCACTTGCTTTTCAATAGCAGCACCCCCAGCAAAGACGGACCCTGCCGGGTGGGGGTGGCTAGACACAGCTGCGGCCGGGTGCGGGGGAGCCCCCACAGCAGGCGACAGTCTCCGCCAGAGCGGGCACAGCTCGGCCGGGACTGGTGTGGCCTCAGCTGTGACCCTGGGCTCGGAGCCGCCTGCAGAGGCCGCTGGGCTTCGGTTACGAAGACACGTTGACCAGGGACGTGCTGGTCTCTGGCGGGTGCCCTGGAAGCTGACCCCAGGGCTGGGGGAGGGAAGGAGGGAGGTGGGGGAGGGCGGCCTGGCAGAGGCGGGTCCAGAGGTGGAGGGAGGGAGAGAAAGGCGAGGAGGGAGCTGTGGGAGTCCTCTCCTGGTGAGAGGGTGCCGGCCAGGGCTCTCTGCCCCAGGCAGCTCTGGGACCCCCGAGTGTGAGGCCCACTTGCAGGCTTGTCCTGGAACAGGGGTGTCTCTCTGAGGGGCCTGGGGCAGGACGTCGGGGAGCAGTCAGTGCCCCTAGGGGGGCACTCACCAGGGTCCTTGCCTGGTTTTGCCTGCTGTGCCTTGGGGGTGTTGCTGGCCTGGTAGATGGGGGTGGGGTGGAGGGGGACAGGGGTCCCTAAATATCAAAACCCAACAGTGCAGAGGGTGAGAACCTGCTTCCAGTGAGATTCTTCGGACTTCCCCCCAGGAAGCGCCAGCCCCCAATTTTGCATCAAATTGGGTAAGACTGGCCCCCTGGCCTGGCCTTTGCGCTGTAACCTGAGCCCCGCCTGCCGGTGAGTCACTCCCGGGCAGCCCCCAGTGGGCTCCTGCTCCCCCAGCCCCTCCCCCCACCTCCACAGGCTCAGGGGGCGGCAGGACGGAGGCCCTCTCCCCCGCCTCGCTGGCCACGGGTCTGGGGGTTCCGCTCCGGCCCGAGGCGGTGCCAACAGCCTCAGCCACTTGGGAAACTAAGTCTCCCTACAGTGAGGGCGCATCTGCGATTTCAAGATGGTCAAGCAAGGCCACCTGCCAGGCCCGCTGCCAGCAGCCACGGGAGCCTCCGGGCACCAGCACCCGCGTCCCGGGCATGCAGTGGCCAGTCCAAGGCGTCCCTTGTCACGGTCCCGGGGCGACTTTTGGGAGGCTCTCGGGGTGGGGCTGTCCAGGCCAGTGACTAAGGTGGGAAGGCACAGTCCCACCTCCTGGTGGGATGGGGCGGGGCGGGGCAGGCTGGGGTTCAGTCCCCAGGAGCCAGATTTAACCAATCACATCCAGTAGCAAGGCCCCCCAAACTCCAAAGGGCGGGGTTCAAGGAACCTCCAGGTTGGGGTGCACGTGTAGAACTGGGGAGCACGGGGGCTCCTGGAGAGGGCGGGAGCTCCACGCCCCCACTTTGCGAGGGCCCCTCCCCCGGTCTGGTGGCGCCAGGGTCACAGCTTGGGATGACAAGCAGGCAATCTGGGGGAAACGCCCTGGGGGTCCCCCAGGAGGGGGTCCAATGCAGGAGATGCCCTGGCCTGGGCCTGGCTGCGGGGAGGCCGCTTTGGGGGCCGGCCCTCCCTGGGGGGCTCTGGCAGCCCAGTGGCAGGCCCCACGGGGGGCCGGGGGTTGGGGCCACAGCACAGAAGCGCCCCGACTCTGCGACAGTCACGGTGCCTCCTCAGGCCAGCGCTTGGGCTCTGCTCCCTGCGGGCCTGGCCCAGAACGCGCCAGCTGAGGGGACGCCGCCATGCCCAGCCCAGCTGGGGCACCTGCACGGTGCCCACCAGAGCCCTGGGCAGACATGGCACTGATAGCGAAGTCGCCCGACACGTCTCGCCAAGGATGGGGCTGGGGTCCCCAGGCCTCGGGGCCCCTCCTTGAGGGGCCTGGGGTTCCCAGGCCTCGGGGCTCCTCCCTAGGGGGTCTGACAGTTGCCGGCTGGACAGAGCCAGTCCCTCGGAGGACACACGGGGCGAGAAGCCGGCGCCCAGGTCAGTCCTGCCACCCTGCCCGGCAGCCTCCCTGCCTCGGAGCCCACGGAACTGCACGTGGGCCCGCGAGGGGCCCGTGGCCCCCAGCAGCGCGACAGCGGCCTAGTCAGCTGCGGTTCCGAGGGCCACACTCAGGTAGGGGACATGGGCGGCCAGAGTGCCCTGTCTGCGGCAAGTCGGGGAGGTGGGGACCCTAACCTCGCTGGGGGTAGGGGCTGTGCGTCCTGACCACCGGCTCTTTAAGGTCCCAGGCTCACCCGTGAGCCCAGTGGGGTCCCGGGGGAGTCGGCCCGCCCGAGGCCTCCGAGCCACTGCCCTGCACCCAGCTGGGCGCGGCCCCCCCACAGGGCTGTAGGGGCCCTCTCCCAGGGAGCCCACCAGGCTTGTCATGGAACAGCTCTGGCCCGGGCTCCCTGACTGACCAGCTTGCTGCCAGGCTTGTGCCCAGAGCTGTCAGGGCTGGGCACTGCCCACCGTGGCCCTGCCCATCCACACCGGCTGGTATCTGGGACCTGACCGCGGCACGGAGGCAAGGCTCCTCTCCAGCCACTGACCACCCTCTGCTTGCTGGGGGGCAGCTGGCGGCCCTGACCCTCGGGCCTGGGGGGCGAGGGGCACACAGCCCTTCCCGGCATCTGCTGCCCAGGGAGAGCGGCCTGGTCTCCCTGGGGAGGGCCCAGAAAGCGGCGCTGGGGTCACGGGGTGTCCGAGTGCCACGGCCCCTGGCTCGGCCAGGCCCGAGAAGGACCAAGGTCAACCACCAGGTTGGCGGGAGACGCCGTCCCCATGCCTCCCAGTGGGCACCCTCCCCGGAGAGCAGCTGACCAGAGCAGGAAGGGCCTTGACCCTGGAGATCACCACTGAGACCGGCTCCCCCTCCGGAGGCTGCTGCGGGCTTCCCGGAATCCACGGCTATCCCACCTTGGCCAGGGCCCCC